AATTCTTTTTTTTGGGTGTGATTTTATCTGTAGTGAACACATGGATCCTCCCCCAGGTGGATTTTAGTGGATTATTTTCCACTTCAGCTGAGGATCCCTCTTTGAGTTATCCCACTGAGCTACAGAGTAATTTTCAGAATTCCCAAATCAATACCTTGAATCAGACTTACAAAGTATTTATTGCTCTCTTTCTGATTATCCTTCAGTTCTATCAGCACAAGTGCATTTCAACTGGAAACAAAAAGGGATAAAGAAGGAGAAAAAAATTTACAACTGCCAAATTTTAAGTTTTCAACCACAAGTATGGTTGAATTTGGCTCTAATGTCCATAACCCTCCCATATTTGGGGGAATCAGGTTCTGAGACATTCATAAAGTGCATTAGTGACAATTTCACTGCTTTTCCATCAGTTTATTAATGATAATTCTGGGAAGTTCTTGTCTCTAAATCAGAGGATGTAACTCAGTGCTGCTCTATTGTTTTAGTGGAGTTATAATGGCCACAGACCACCTGAAAATCCCTTTTAAGTCTTTTCAGGAATCCTAAATTGAGATTAAGAAAATATTTTGAGGCTTGTGCATTTATAGAGTGATTCCAGTTGTCATGCCATTTTGGGAAAAAAAAAAAGAGAATTAAAAACTTGGGCAGAAGTTTTATTGTATAGGATTGTGCTGCAACCGCAAGCACTCAGTAAAAAGGCAGTGGGTGTATTACAGCCCTTTGTCTCACATTTAACGTTGTGGTGCTGAGGGCTTTGTGCAAAATGCAGTTTTCAAGTTGTATCAGGATAGAGGAGCCCAAATCTCAGCACGTTCTGCTGGCTGGAAAAGCCAAAAAGAGACAGAACTCTGTTTTCTGCAGCATTTTCACAGCCTGTGAAAGTCATTTCTGAGGGAATCTTGGAGCTCAGATATTCCCATGAACAGTAATTTATAATGTTTTTTTTAATGAAGGACAAATCACTCATCATTTGAGTTCAGGCGATTTGGGATGTGGAGGATGTGCCCAATCAGATCTCCTGCCCGTTCCTGTGACCTGCAGCATCCTCCCTCCATCCCTGCACAAACCCATCCCCAAACCTGAGAGACTGTGGCTTTTTGAAGTGCATATTACATTTTTCTTAATTCTCTTTTCTCAGCCTTTAGGGTGCCTGGCTTGTTTTTCAGCTTCACTCTTCAGCAAGTTGCTGCAGCCACTAATAAAAAGCTGTACAAATAACACATGAATAACCTTTGAAGAAGTCTGCCTCTGATTTAGATGCCAGATTCAAGATGGGGATGTTTAATACAAGAGCAGTGCTTTTCAAGATTTCTGAGTCTCATTTTAACTCAAGGAACTTGGTTAACAAAGAAGAATCCTGTTCATCTCCCAGGTAATCAGAGGCACTGGTTTCCCTTCATTTTCTCCATTAATCTGATTTCTTCATGGCCACCTTGCAGTGCAGAGGCTGTGTTGGTAAACAAAATAATGAATGAAATAAATAAAAGGAGCCCTGGGCTGAGCTGGCTTATTTCAACATCCCCTTGGAAATTCATTGCCAGAGCTTTTCTGGGATTGCTGGACCTTTTCAATCCAGTGCAGAGTGCTCATCTCTGCTCAAGTGGAAGGAATCCTGTTTGATTTAGCTACTTCCCATGGTAATGTGTGCCACTTGATCATTTTCCTTAGCTCTCACAGACTACACATCCCTTTGCATTTACATTTGATTTTCTGGCACACATCTGTGATGGTGTTCATAGGGGTTCTTGGATGAGGGAAGAGATGAGGATCTGACTCCGTGTTTCGGAAGGCTGATTTATTATTTTATTATATATATTACATTAAAACTATACTAAAAGAATAGAAGAAAGTATTTCAGCAGAAGGTTAGCTAAGAATAGAATAGCAAAGAATGATAACAAAGGTTTGTGGCTCGGACAGAGAGTCCAAGCCAGCTGACTGTGATTGGCCATTAATTAGAAACAACCACATGAGACCAATCCCAGATGCACCTGTTGCATTCCACAGCAGCAGATAATCATTGTTTACATTTTGTTCCTGAGGCTTTTCAGCTTCTCAGCAGGAAAAATCCTAAGGAAAGGATTTTCCACAAAAGATGTCTGTGACACACATCGACATTCAGGAGCTGGCGGATTAAACAGCAATGGGGTGTGCCTGCCCAGTTCCAGGGAATTAAAGGCCAAATGTGAATCCCAGCACCCTGGGAAGGTCACAGAATCTGTGCAGGGCTGAGGAGCAGAATGTGCCCTGCACTCTCACAGCTCTCACCAGGCTGTTCCAGGTGTGCTGGGACAAACATTCGGCCACATTCCCAGATTTGTGTGCCTGCCCTGCAGCCCAGCACAGCTGTGCCATAATTCCACCAGCCCTGAATGAAATGCAAGTGTGTGGTGGCACAACAGTGTCAGCACGAGCTCCATCCCTGACAGAAAACCCATTTGGGGGCCATAAAAAATCCCTGGCTAAACAGCCTAGAGGGAAAGCAGGGCCTTTCAGCTCCCAGGAGATGCTTTAGTTTAAAACTGGCTCCTGTCTGCAGGTGCCTCCCAGGGGAGGGAGGCAGAGTGCATTAAACTTGTGCTTAGGTGTTTTTAGCCCACAGGCAGGGCTTCAGCAGGAATTAATTGGCTTTGGTGAGCTGCAGCCACGGAGCATCAAAGCTGGCTGATGGTAAAGTATTAATGCAGCACTTGTACCTTCAGTGTTCCCTGTTAGTGCAGCAGCAGTGGGGCTTTATGAGGAGCTAATCCCTTGTAGGAAATGAATGTGATGCCTTAGTGCCTGCATTTGGAATGGTAGGGGATGGATGAATATTTGCTGGAGCAGGAAAACAGGTGCACTACGTGACATTTAGAGCGTTTTCCCTCTGGAAGAAAAGGAAAGAAAAAAAAATAGAGTTCTGCTGAATATTGGTGAGTAGGGGAAAAAAGTCAAGGGGAAAAAGAGAAGAACATTCTCCAAGCAGGACTGCTGGCATCCTCTGCATGGTGCTGAGAGCACATCCAGCATTCCCCACATTCCCATGTTCCCATGGAATTC